CCGCCACCGATCCCACCTGCCGATCACGTGGCTTCCACGAAACATTCGGCTAAAAGAGCTTCTCTCGCGTGATTTACTTTTCGATTGAACGAACGTCGTGCACTTTGTTGCACAAATTGCAACGAACGAGAATTAATGTTATACACGTTGGCAGAACTCAAGCGTCCTTATAAGGTATCTTTAAAAAAGAGAATTAAAAATGACGATGTATCATTTTTAATATGACGCGTGTATCTCAAGAATGTATTGTTTTTTTTACATATATATATATATATGAATTTTTATATGCGGACGTTCAAAGGATGATTTAAGTAAAAGACACAAAATATTTGCAATTTCGAAGAGGTAAAAAAGAAAGAAAAAATAATAATAAATAGTTCTATTAAAAAAGTAGTAGTTTTATTTTATAGTGGTAGTAGTCTATCATTATCATGGATAAAGATCTATGACTCTATCGTTCTTTGCAAACAGACGCCCGGATGCATAGGATGCAGCTGCTCATTGACAATAAAACACTTTTACTTATAGGATAGTGATCATAGTAACTTCCTGTACGATTCTAGTCACGCATCTTTTTAAATTTACGTTCAATTGATAATCGTACGGGTAGTTTAAGAATTAACATTAGAGAGTCAGAGTATATTGCAAAAGGTAACTCAGATTATCGAAGAAAGAGAAACAGGTGTATTTCTACACGTCACGCGATTGATATCTCAAAAATATGAATCAAAGGTGTGTTTCACATTTGCCAATACATATATATATATATATATATTAATACATATTTATTTTTAATAATATATAACATATTTTTTTTATTTATTTAAAAATTCGATAGAGATGATATACTCATTAATTCAACCATAACTTCCTTTTAATATGGAAAGTGTATCAAGTAAAAAGAAAGAAATAAATAAATAAAGAAAGAAAGAAAGAGTCGGGTCTCGAATTACGCGTTACGATGACGGAATGAAAAAGATTAATGAAATTCGGGAAGTCCATTAAGGATAATTTATCTTTTTTTTTTCTTTTTTTTTTTTTGAGAAAGTTTACTTCACGGTTGTTACGTCAATAACGACCGTAAACCATCATCCATAGAGTGTGAAATATTGCACGTTCAATTTATTTCGTTATTTTATATGAAATTATCTTTATATTCAACAAATTTTCTTACGTATTATTAATATATAATAAGACAATTATATCTATTATTTATTTTTTCTTTTCTGTTAATTTTTTTATTACATACGAATTAATTTTTGTGAACAAAGAAAATAAATAATACATCGTACGTTTGGTTTATAATTTTTCGTATAATTTTCTATCGATTATTTTCATCGTCTATCTTAATGATAGGTTTTGTTAACTTCTAAGAAAAAAGAAGAAGAAGAAAAAAAAAACAAAAAAAAAGGATTTTAGTATAACGTATAATTAGTTATCCTTTTTTCTTCTCACGTATTGAAAAATCCCAGAAGAAGCCACATTATATGATCAAGTTGGAGACAATTTGTAATTGAATATGATGGATCGTTCGATGGCCACTGAGAAATCGTATACGTAGGAACTCAAACCTTCTTGGCAAGGTGTCCGATTGACGACCACCTGTCGATAGCAAGCAAGCTCGACGGCTGGTGACAATCTGTTAAACATCAGGGAAGTCATATGAGATGAGTTGTCGTCTCTTCTTAGAGATGCCTGATCTTTTCTTAATTACTACAATTAACACATTTCTTCTCGAATTCCATTTCAATCATTTACCCATAGTTCATTCTTAATTCTATACTACCTGTTGCTTACCCATTGTAAGAACATTTAATTCTTTTATAATGTGACATGGTAGAAATATTTTGTTAATTTAATATTACGTAATGTTTAGCTTTTTAATTCGATTTATTAAATTATTCAGGAATAAATAATCTTCTTTTAAAAAATAATCATCCGAATACTCTCGACAAATTTTGAAAATATAGAAACCCAATTTTGTTTCGTTTTTCTAAAAATAATCCCTTTCAAGAGGGTAAACTTTATCTTTTAATCAAAATATCCATTTTTTGTTTACAAAATAATAATTTACCTTTACAACTATTATAATTATTTTTTATATATTATTTTATATTATTGAAGTGAAAACTTCTTCAGAATGGATGTGATTTGAAAAAATGTAACGGAGCGGTAGGCAGCGGTGTAACAGAGCAGCTGGCGTCTATAAAATGGCCAAGATACTAAATAAGAAGAGAAAAAAAGACAAACATGTAGGATTGTGTCTGCGAGAGAATGAGACAGAATAAAGATATACAGTTTTTCCTCGGTCTTTGACTCGTAGTCCGCACCCCGCCGCATCGCACCGCACAGCACCGTATTCCGCATTCCGCATGCGCGAAACGCTTAACATGAAACGCGAAACGCTTAACCCGAAACGCTTACCATCAACGCTTAACGTTTAACGCGAAACGCGTATACTAATAGAACTACTTGTAGTACTAGTATACTATGTAGTACTAGTAGTATTTGTTAGTATAAGTATTACTAACTTAGTATAGTATTAGTATAGTATAATGTATAGTATAAGTACTAGTATACTAGAACTAAGTAGTCATAGTACTTACTATACTTTGTATAGATATTATATTTCTAATATATAAACTCACTACTTTTCGGAACAAACCTCACTACTTTTCGGAAAAGTACTTTTTCCCAGGTTCTTTAGTGAGTAGTGAGGTTTTTTCCGAAAAGTAGTGAGGTTTTTACTAGACTAACAGAGGTGGTTTGTTTCCATGCATTTTAAAGTTACCAGAAGCAACTCGTGTCATTTCTTTGAATTGAGAACTTGCTTACTGTGTATTATGTTATCTATTTATATATGTTTTCAATAAAACGTATAATAATTTTTGAATGTGATAGCAATAATATAATAATAATATTATAACAAATAAACCCTACAGTTATCCTACTCCTGATATTTTGCAGTCGTCTCATTCTCTCGAAACTTAGATTTTCGAAGGTTTCACTTCTAACACGTGTGATCTGCCCACATGATATTTTTTTTATTTTCTATTCAAATGATTTGCAATTGGATATTGAGAATTGTGATTCAAGTGTCTTTCGACCGAAAATTAACGCCGAACATAGTCGTGAAAATCTGCAGAGAGAAAATATTAGGGAAATTGCAAAGAGTTTGTTGGAACGCGTTCGTGCATTTCGTGCACGCAGAGAGATGTTTAGTTATCATACATATTTTAGTTTCTATAAGCAACTCGTCTCATTTCTTCAAATTGAGAACTTGCTTACTGTGTAATATGTTATGTATTATATGTCAATAAAACGTAAAATAATTTTTGAATGTGGTAACAATATTATAGTAATAATATTATAACAAATAAACCCTATAATTATATCTTACTCTTGAAACTGTGAATTCGTCTCATTCTCTCGAATATTAGTTTTTTGAAGGTTTCACTTCTAACACGTGTGATCTGCACACATATGTTTATATTATATATTATACTTATCACCAAACAATGTTAGAAAAATTAACGATAATAATTATCGTCGTTCAACGTTATGTAAACAATTGTAAAATCTATTTAAAATAAAAACGCAAAAGTTACGATTTAAGGAAGATCGAATAAAATCGTAGAATTGCGAATAGTAATACAGATTTTTGGATACAGCATATAATAATTCGTGTTCCCGATTTTGCAGAGCCCTTCCGGGCCGAAAGAGAGAGAAGTAATAACCGGTGTGGAGTGGTCCGTGTGCTCGTGAAAACGACTGAGGGTGAAAAAGTAAAAAAGTAAATGAGAAAGAGAGAAAGAGAGAGAAAAACTGTAGAAACAAACGAACCGCAGGGTAGCAAGCAGCACACCCATATATATATATATACATAAGCTTGCTCGTCGTGATATTTCTACGCTTTTGCAACAAACTCCGTGTCGTGTGGTGGTCGTCGTATACATTTGAGAAAAGAAGAAAAAAAAAGAAAGAAAAGAAAAGGTATGAGGGTGGTTTTGGGTCTTTGGAAGAAAAAAAAAGGAAATGAGACTCCGAATGATTACTGACCCACATCCTGGTCTTCACGACAAAGCGTTTCCTCTGTTCCGTTTTTCTTCTTCTAACAGCTTACTATGTAGATAGACAAGCATAGGAAAGAACGGTTCAAAATCTCGATCCCGTGGGGATTCCTGTACTATGCTTTCTCCAAACGTCTTCTTCGTTGTCGACGGCATACGGTAAACAATGCTTCCATACCGCTTGGAGGGAATTCTCGTTATCATTCCAAATCGTGGAGAAAAACCTTTCTACATTGCTGCTTGGAAAGCAGAGTGTTCGTAGAACCAAGGGAAAGCAAGGGAGTTCGTTTAGATGCTTGCCAAAAAAAAAAAGAAACTATGCTTCTTTTTATATCTCTATCGTGCATTGTTTGACTCGGGTAGTGGAATCAATGATGATGAGATGTTCGATAGAATTAACTGTTTTTATTATTGTTTTCATTAAGAAAAATTTGTGATTTTTTTTTTTTTTTAATAATTTTTTGTTTTTTTTTCTCTCTCTTATTTTGATTTTCGACATTTTTCATTTCTTTCTTTTTAAATATTTGTTTTTACAAAATTATATTACCATCTAGTTAACAGAATACAACAATTAACATAACACACATAAGAGAAGGTAAATACATATATTTTAATGTTAATCTTCAGAAATAATAATTGGATTGATTGAAAGATTTTCATTCATTGTATAAATGTGTAAATGCATAAGAAAATTAAATAAAGAATTTCTAAGGAAATAAAATATGATATTACTCCAATTCAAAAATTTCTAAAGTACATAATTACATAAGAAGATAAGATCGCACTCTTGGAAGTTAGACCCGATTAATTAATATAATATTTATTTAAATAAATTAAAGAAAACGAATTGTAACTTAATATAATCTACTTGATCCTTATTTTTTTTTTTTCTTCTATAGTTCGTTTCATCGAACGCTTATTTTTTTTTCATTTGTATAAATGTCTTCTTGTCATTGTGACGATAAAATTAATATTCCATTTTGTACTTCCTTCGATCACGTGTTTGTGCTTTTCTTTTTTTATATATATATATAGATATTTATATAAATATAAAACAAGACAATCTATATCAAAAACTATCATCGTCGTCATCGTCATCATCCGTATATTCGTAGTCTTCGATGATTCTTGTTATTTCTGCATCATGTTCTTTCAATTCTTCTTCTGACAAATGTGAATCTCCTTCCATAAATTTGGCAAATCTGTAATTAAATTAATATATATATATATATATATATATATATATATATATATATATATATGTATTTTCAAATTGTATTGATTAAATGAAATTATTTATTAATATCAATTATGTATGACAAATAATTATAAATATTAAATGTAAAGAGACCTTATGGGATCCTTCAATTTCAAAATTGTTTTCCATGGATTACATTCGGGACTACAGCAGTAATGTTGTAAATCTTGTAAAGCTTTATTAGTCTCTTGTATAGCCTCTTTACGATATTGATCATCTGTTAATAACTTTCTTCTTTCGGGAAACATATTTCTCCTAATATGAGACAATAAAGACATATAAAAATATAGTCTYGTATATTTATATAAAGAAAAAAAAAAAATCAAGAAATAACGATAAATAATAAAAATATAATGAATTATGCATAATAAATCTTTATTAAAATAATATAAAATAATAAAATATGTATTGTATAATTATATGATTATGTAATATTAGTATATATTGTTTAATCCAATAACGAAAGAAAAATATTTCAATTGAAGTGCATATTATCCAATTGATCTAAAACATAATTGTGTGGTTAAAATTTGAAAAGTCAATCAACTTGAATATTTTCTCGAAATCTTGTTTGCGTTACTATAAAATTGTATTATCTGATAAGAGTTATCTAATCAAAAGATTAATACTTCAATTTATTAATATTATATTTCTACAAAATAAGCTTACCAATATCTTTTTCCTTTATATATCACAGCAATTGGAAAATTATAAAGAAGAACGAGTACTACGCAGCTTAAAAATGATGCTTCGTAGAAATAGCTGCTATAGTAAATGGATATTAAACCTAAACCCTATGTATAAAAGTGACACACAATATATGTAAAATATTAATTAACATCAAATTTGTAATTAATGTATACTTTTATATGAATATATGTTTAACCTGTAAGAACCACTGTATGATCTGTTTTGTTCTAGCATTTGTTACAGGTCCAAAGCGATAACAAATAAGAAAACTTATTACTGAAGTTATTAGAATATACCACATAACGTAATCTCTGTACTGTAATAATATAAACTGTGTGTTTTCCCATAACATTTGAGCAACATAGAAACTCATCGTCCAACCAGTAGCAAGCATTAAGTACATAAACTTTCCCTGATCAATCAAATTAATATTAATGTAAAATACATTTAGAAAAAAAAGAGACAAGATTTCTTAATACTTACTCGTGGAAATAATTTACCAGCAAAATATATTAATATCATACACGAAGCTGTAACTCCAAGACTAATGCCACATAAGTAATAAAATAATGGATTATGACTCAGTCTTTTAGCAAACCAAAACAATACAATTCCAATAACAGCCATTAAGATTTTCCATATATCCGCACCTAATTGATACAATCAAAATGATGAATAAATATGTTTTAATACAATTACACTAAAAACTTGCATATTACTAACTTACGTGTTTGAGTCATACTCATAGTATATCGTAACCCTTCATATTCAGAAATGTAAACACCAATGCAAGTAGTTTGGAAAGGATCTAATTGAAAGGATTTTTGTTTTTTTGTATTGAAAAAATTAAATCTCCAAAATCCTTGATTATTAGAATGTTTTTCAAATACTTCTTGAGGTGTTTTACCATCATATAAATCATACGTGTCTCGTTTAATATCCAAATTCATCTGTAACATGTGTTTTTACTTTATAGTAATATTATTTGATAATATTGAATATGGTTGTCTGATAAATTATCAATTAGATTTATTTTCTTTTACCGTTATTGTCTTCCAAATATATAAAAGATATTTCGACTTTGCTTTATGACAGAACACTTGTAAGCCCGGTTTATCATTTACAATAATTTTTCCTGGTTCTATGTGGTGAACTACAGAAGTAAATAAATTGTAATACTAGAAAATGATTAACAATACACATTATAATTACGATGAATTTATTCAAATTACATATAATGATACATTAAATGATAAATAACAGTACATTGCAATTCTGTTAATATTCAATAACAACAACAAAATATAGTTAATAATAATATGTAATAAAATGTAATATAGGTTATATAAAACTAACCTGAATCTGTAGGAACAGCACATCTTGCTGATAAATTCTGTATTGTTAATAATAAAAAAATGATTGTTAATATTCTAATCGTCGTTTTCATTATAATTTATGTTTTAATATTGATTTGTTAATTGTTTATAAATATAGTATTAACCGTTCTCTTACAAAAATTCACGGCAATCTGAATTGAGCATTTAAAAGATTTGAAATTCGAGAGACTGGCGCTGAACGGGTATGACAATCGATAGATTGTTCGAAACGATATAAGATACAAATCGATTGTTAACCAATTTCACGCTTCATATAATCAAAATTGGCGCGAATATATCATGAATCATAAAATAGTCATCAAAACAATACAAATGATTTGTAACTGTCTGCTGCTGTGTTGTTCTATTACAATAAATAATTGTTAACATTCAGGAATGTAAAATGAGTCAATTTATAACAATACAAGGTAAAAACAATTCTTTTACATTTAAATATAAAAAATGTCTAATATCATTTTATATTTTATTATATTATTCATTTATATTTATTTAAGTTGGTCAATGTGGTAATCAAATAGGATCAGCTTTCTGGCCTTTGACATTACACGAATATGGTATACAAATGAGAAATGGATTAGCAGATCTTCTCAAGATACAACGAGATTATATTAAAAATATTGACGCATTGTGGGATGGATTTAATAGTTTTTTTCATGTACCTGGAAATACAGATAATTTGTGTTTTAAAACAGTAGCTGATTTGAACGCAGCTAAAATCAGAGCTAGGGTACTGTATTATTATTATTATTATTATTATTATTATTATTATTATTATTATTATTATTATATTTGTCAAAATTTTCAAAATGTATTATAACAGTAAATTAAAATGTATGTTATTTTTGTAGGCTGTTTTAATAGACATGGAAGATAGCGTTGTTGGACGATTTCAACATGGACCGTTGCGTGAATTATTTAACAAAACTTGTACGGTAACTAATTATCCTGGCTCTGCGAACAATTGGTAATTCAAAATTGATAAATACAAAACTAATTATTAATATCATGTAATGATGAATATAATTCTATAAAGGGCTACAGGATATTATACTCATGGTACAGAATATCATGATCGAATTGAAGATGTTATAAGACAATCTGTTGAAATGTGTGATTGTCTAGGTGGATTTTTTCTTTTACATTCTGTTGGCGGTGGAACTGGTTCCGGTTTAGGAACAGCAACTTTAACTATGTTGAATGATAATTATCCTCATATAGATAGGTATGTTATATATTGTTTTAAATATCATCATATTAATAGTCATAACATTTTATTCTTTTTTTTTAGACATGTATCTTCGATATATCCTACAGGTATGGAAGATGTTATTACAGCTCCCTACAATACATTATTAGCGACAAAAGAATTGATAGAACACGCTACTTGTGTATTTCCAGCAGAAAATGAAGCACTCTTAAAAATCTGTGAAACTCAAATAAGGAATAAAGATAATGTGGATCAGGCTAATTTTAATGCTTTGTGTTTACCATTTCAAGATATGAATAGTATTATTGTTAATATGCTTCTTCATTTGACTAGGTAATACATTTTTTGTTGTTATATATATATATTTTGATATATAGATTGTAAAGAAATTTATTTACAGTGGCTCCAGATTTCCTGGTAATTTAAATATAGATGTAAGTGATTTATCTACAAATCTTGTTCCATATAAAAGAATGCACTATATACTAAGTAGTGTTAGACCGGTAGCTTTAACAGCACCTAAACTTCTTGTTACAAATACTTCGAAGTAAGTACATTTTACAGAATTATTATACAAATGTGTATCACGATGAATAAACATATTGAAGGGTTCAAGATATACTGTTTACTAACGCATGGTCTCGGACTAATCAGTTGACTAAAATGCATCCACTACAGCCAGGATCTGTCATATTGAGTGGTGCATTTATTGGAAGAGGCCAATTTTCTGTAACTGGCATAAAGCGAAATATTGAAAGGTATCATTTTATTATCATTTAATGCTACTTATTAATATGTTATATAACATGGATTATTATTTACAGGCTCCAAAGTAAAGCTAAATTTACGTCATGGAGTAAAAATTCAATGAAAATAGGTTTATGTTCTGTTCCACCACCTGGTCATGCAACATCTTTATTATGCTTGTTTAACACTTCGGCTATTTCTTCAATGTTTACGAATTTAATCGAACAGTTTACCAAATTATATAAACGAAAGGTAATGATTAATAATAAAATACATAGTATTATATAATTATGCTCATTATTTCAGGCACACGTTCATCATTATACTCAAGTGTCTGGATTTGAAGATTCTCAATTTTTAGAAAGCAAAGAAATGATCTCTAATTTATGTGAACATTACATGGAGCTTCAAAATCAAAAACAAAGACATATTTCACGGTTGCTTACTATTTGAAAATTTATATTAAGAAACGAACGATTGGGATATATAACCAAGAATTGTGTATTATAATAGTAAGTTAATTTATTAATTTAATCATATAGTATTATAACACATAAAATAATTTTTAATAAAAATAGTGTTTTTTCTTTTATTTTAGTTTTTTTTTTTTTAATTTTTTTTTTATTATTATAATAAATCATATTTTCTATATAACATAAAATAAACGTTTTATTGCATTAAGAGAGTGTTCTGATTAATTGTTCGTTCGTAGACTTTTTTTTTCTTTTCTTTCCCCTTTAGGAATATTGCAGAAGCATATTTATATTATATTATATAAGCTATGTGCCTTTGGAGACCATAATCAACATTATCTTATCACTTATTTATGCATTAAAGCTTAAAATATCAATGAATTAACTAGCTGGAATTTGGGGTAATCCAAACTCATCCACCAACACACCATCCTGAAAACAAATTAGATGAATAAAGATTAATATAACAATACAAATAAAAAATAAATATATAATCTTATAGATAATGACCTTGTTCCTGACAGAACTAGAACCTGGATCCTTATCAGGAGCATTAGGTGCTTTAATTGCATCATCCAAGTAAGATGTATCTTCATCTAAAGCAATCTCATCACCAAGAGCATCTAATTCAGCGGCAAGTTCATCGTCATCAATATCTGGCATTCCATAACTACGACCCATTGCTTCTTGTACTTCATCCGCTTGTTCCAACATATCGGCTAAATTATCTTGTATGTCCTACACAAGAAATAGACAATTAATAATGAACTATTAAATTAGTTACAAATAAGAGGGAACATACTTCGATGTCGTCTATGTTAATATTTTTGAATTCTCTTTGCATTTGTTTAACACCATCCTTCATAGCGACCACTGTTGCTTGAGTATCTTTTAATGTTTGAGTAGCATAATTTGCTTGTTCCATATTGAATGCTTGTTGACGTAAATTATCTACTTGTGCTTCATACATTTTTCTTTGTTTAAGGACACGTATTGCTTTGGCTTTGACAGCATTCTTTGCTGGACCTTCTCTCATTTTCACCATCTGATCTTTGTATTTTTTTAATTCAGCATCTAATCGTGCTATTTTCTTTTCAGCTGAATCTGCTCTACTATCCACCTAAATATAAAAAAAAGAACCATCAATAATGTATGAAACATCAATAAGTAAATAATGTCATTAACCTGTTTTCTCTTTTTTTTTTTTTGAGAATAAGTTTAAACAACTTACACCAGCAATACAATCAGTAATACTTGGAGCTGGCTCCTTTGGTTTAGCACGTCCAAAAAGTCTATTCATTTTTTAATTATAATCAGTTAAGTGAGAAAGACTAATTTGGATTTTACTTGCTCGAATTTCTAGAATGTCAAAACGTATGACTCAAAGATGAAGTATAAAATTGTCGATTGAGTGATGAGGGCAGCACTGTACTATTACGTATTATCTTTGCGTTTACTGGATGAAATTCAAGGTTGAAAAATACAAATTTCAAGTAATTTTTTAAAAGTACACATTTTTATATATTGCCGTTAATTTTTATTAAACAAAAATATAAGATTTACATAATTTTTATAAAGATATCTTACACATAACAAAAGAATACCGATAAGTTTTAGGTTAATGATATTTATTTATTTTTATTATATTAAATCATATATAATTTGTAAAAGAAAGAAAATTGATTAATGAAAAAACGAACGTTGTGTGTAAATATTACAGAATATTATTTATTTTGAGATAATATGCTGTAATGTTAAATGTAATAAAAAATGACATTTAAATTCGTGCAATAATGCGCATAAATTACCGCGCTTATGTAAGAGCCAATCAAAATTGATTTGCCATAAACCTCCATTTTTTTTCCATCGCATTTTTAAAACAATTCTCTTCATATATTATTACTATTTCTTATTGTTAATCGGTAAGGTAGAAAATTGTAATTTAATGATAAGACAGGTAATGACAGTTCGTAGTTACGATTTTTTACGCTAGTAGCGCTAAAATCTTCTTTTCCGATGGTAATGCAGTTTATCGTTGCAGAGATGGTAAGCTGTTTGTAAGATCAATGAAATCTTGTCTTGTAGGGTAAATTTGCATCTATGATCGCAATTAAAAAAACATGTCTTATTTAAATTTGTTGTTTATACAAAATTACGCTAGAGTCAATATTAAAAATCTAAAAAAAAGGAAAAAATATAAAATAAGAGCACACGAGACACTTCAAGACATGATATCTCAAAATTATACAATTATTTATCAGCTCGCGTCGTTTGATAACACATTGAGTTGTTTTTTCCTTTAGTGTAATAAAAAATAATAAGGAGAGATATTCGGTCATCAAAGATCAAAGAACTTCGCTACTAGAAACTTGAAGAAATTATTCTTCTTATCTCGAGTTACAAAGATAATTCTTTGAAGAATTACATGCCAAGTTGATCGAGTTAATTCGTAGAACCTAACTCAATTCAATTTTAACATTTTCCAACATTATCCTCGAATCGTTCCGCTTTTTGAGCGTAGCTATTGCATCATTCTTGTCTGTTTACTCCACCGTCAGGTTACCGTTACCTTTGCGCACATGTACGCACAGCAGTAAGCGTCGTTGATATCTTATCAGCGTGACTCTTTTACGGCACAGGTGTATTTATAAGTACGTATGATATTTACCTACGTAATAGGTGCTTAAATACATGCGCACTAAATTCTAGATTCAAATTTATAAGACCACAAATCCTGATCCTTAACTAATTAAAATCATTATCATTTTTATAATAAATAATAAGAGATGATAGAATATTTCATATGATAGATTTCTTTTTGATATTCTGTAATTAGTAAAAAAAATAAAGAAGATTCATTTGCGCGGCCCTGAATTTTCCTAGAGCTTGTTGGTTCGAACGGTGCGACGTTGATAGCAAGAAGACGGTGAAGAAGCGTGGGCGGAGGTAAATTCGAACACGAAGAGAGAGAAAGAGAGAGAGAGAGAGAGAATTAGTGTGAGTGAGTGAGTGAGGGAGAAAGGGTGAAGAAGAAGAAGACAGCAAGTACAAGGTAGCACGAGGAAGATAGAGACAACTAAATACATCGGTGCTTTTGGTGGAGGAGGTGGTGGTGGGCCAATGTGATTCAAAGCGCATGCGTGGATGAAGTCGGCGCGCGACGCATCAATGTGTTAGAAAGAGAACGAAGAAGTACCACCATCAGAGAACTACCACAAACAGCACCCCACCTCTGTCACCACCACCAGCTAGACTGAACTAGCGACTGAACAGCCAGGCAGGAGGCAAGCAAACAGACAAGCGCAGCTAAGCTAGAAAACGCGCTAGCGAGTAAAAGTTAAATTTATCAGCATAACAAGAACAAAACAGGGAATATCGAGAACAATTCTAACGACGTTAGATAAAATAACAACGGTGGTGAGAAGACAAGAAAAGAGAATACAGTGAACGCATTATTAGAGAAGGTGGAAGAACCAATCTCTTTTAAACGGGACCATAAGAAGCTTTGATACGTGCTGCTCTATTTGATAGCAGTTGGTCTCTATGGTCAACCCGATGTTACGGTTAGGCCTGGAGTATCTAATGAAGTGTTGAATAAGTCACTAGGACTACGTCTGAGAGACGTGTTACGTTTGAGAAAGAGTTGAACAGGCAGCCTACCAAGGCTGCTGTCGTCAAATTGCTTCGTTTGCCACTCCGTCTAGTTTCCTTTTACTCTCTCTCTCTCTCTCTCTCTTTCTTACTAAATATATATGTATTTTTGTTTCTTACAAGCGCGCCCTCTTGTTCGCTTCTTGTGAGTTCTGTTTCTCTCTCTTTCTCTCTGATTCTCTTGCACACGCACCCTCTTGCTATCTTGTTTTTTTCTTGGTTAGTTCGAGAAGTTATATGAGAAAGAAAGAGAGAGAGAAAGGGGAGACAGAAACAGACCACTTAGGTTTGTTGGTGGTGGTCTCTTTATAACACTACTTTTTTTTCTCCAAAATTTCTTGGGCCAAAAACAACGTAGAATAAGAAAGTTAGCACTAAACTGCTGCTGCAACTTGCTGCCACTATTGGGAAATATGGGATTGAAATTATGTTACTCGTAAGGAGTCCCTAACTTGTTGTAAAAAGAAAATATAGAAACAAGGCAATAACAAGAAAAAAAAAAGAGTTCCTACTCCTGTTTTGGTGTTCTGAGAAGATAAACTTGTCTCACCCTTTACCTTTCCTATTTTATCCATCTTCAGATTCATTGATTTGCAGTAGGGACAATTTTCCCTTGTTTTTTATTTTTTTTTTTTTATTTTAAGAAAGGGTAAGAAAGAGAGAGAGAGAGTGAAAGAATCTGTTAAAAATAATTCTAGCCGTCATCGTGATCATTGGAAAGGTGTACTGTGTGTGTCCGCGGTGTGTTACATCGCGAGGTAGCTCGCATCGTTGAAGCTTATCGGTGATCGATCGAGTAAACGATACGGGGTAGCGCGCGCTGAGGGGTGGCGGGGTGGGAAGGGCTAGATAGGAAGAGGAGGTGGCGAAGGTGGAGGAGGAAGAAGAGGAGGAGAAAGAGGAGGAGGAAGAGGAGGTGGAGGAGGAGGAGGAGGACGGTGTGCAACGACGAGGAGTCGTCGTAGTAGCTCGTCCAAGTTCGACCGTAGACGGCGACGGTATCGTGCCGCGTGTATCTCGCGCGGATCCCTCCTCGGCACGGCAAGGACGCTCTTCAAAGAGCGTCCAGGTACGAAAGAGAAGTGCGCGAGTGACCGAACGTAGGGGAGGATTAATCCGGTGTGATTATTTTCTTGCGGTGTCGTTTGTCGAGGAGGAGAGGAAGAAAGGAAGTTATGTCGATGATATTGCGAGGATAAGTGCGATCAATCGTCAAATTTTAAACAGAGAATACATAATACGATATAGAAAGAGAGGATAAGAGTAAGAGATAGAGAGAATAATTAAAAGAAACAAAAGTAAAATACACAAAATTGGTGTTGGTGAAAATTATGAGTTACGAGGATCGTCGAGTGCTACTAGCACGAGATAAGAGATAGGCCAGAGAAATGCCATCGGGTCGACGTGGTATCGGTGGATCTCGGCCGGTCTCTCGGTTCTAAAGTTTTTTTACGTCAAAAGTGGAAGTAGCGAAATAAGAAGGTTAGACCAAGGTGATCTTTATTAAGGAGAAAAATTAAGAGAGAAAGAAGGAAGGAAGGAAGACGGAAGGAAAGAAGGAAGGAAGGAAGGAAGGAAGGAAGGATATACAGCAGCAAGGGCGAGGAGAATCGAAAGATTTGCCGTAGCGCGCTCAGCTTCCGGGATTCGTGGGTGTTTTTACGCGCTCGGCGTGGATCGATAGCCGTCTCTCGCGAGCTCGGTTCAGCTTTGACGACGTCCGCGGCGTCAACAGGACGACGACGACGACAACGACTACGACGAGGAGTTGGTTCGAAGGACAAGTCATTTTTATTGAAGCTTGGACGCGAAATAATCGCGTGTATTACTTACAAGAAGTGGGAGAAATAAGGGAAGGAAGTAGTAGGAAGAGAAAGAGGAAGAAGGTGAGGAGAGGATAGGACAGGATAGGATACAAGAAGAAAGGGCCGAGTTCCGGTGATATATGGGGGACTTCGGCACAACCAGTCTCTTCTCGAGTACCTTGTCCGGGCCAAAATCGTCGATCGGTAGTAGTTCGAGCGCGGCCATATCCCTGTCAACGTCCACCATGCAGGACGACCTGCTGATCGAAAAGCAGAGCACGGGAAAGCCGGCGCCTCTCTCGCCGAGCGCTGCCCTCGATAACGTCGGCGGTCCTCAGGAGAAGTCCAAGGACGCGGTTGAGGTCGAGAGTATTGCTATAACATCGACGACGCCCTCTTCTACGGAAAAGGAGATAATCGCGTGTAGCACGACCTCGGCCCTTCAAGGTTTTAGCGATCCGGCCAGGGTACCGAGTCTTTGGGCAGACGACACCACGGGTTTGGATCTGCCGGTGAACGGTTCGATCGCTGCTTTTCAAAATTTTCCTACCGGAGGTCCGGCCGGCTTTTTTGCCGGCACAGCTGCGGCCGTTTCAACGAATACTCGACGAGCGATCACGGCTAGTCATAATTTTCCACAACAACACGGTAACGTGGGCGCTGGGGCGCCAACCACAAGGCACGGCCTTCCCGTATCTACACCTCAGCAACAGCAGCAACAACAACAGCAACAACAGCAGCAACAACAGCAGCAACAACAACAACAACATCAACAACAACAACAACAACCACCACCAACCTCACATCCAGGGGTTTATCTACCTAGTAAAAGTTATGCCGCGTGGTCAGGTGGGCCTCAAGCACCACAACAATGGGGCGGAGGACCCCAAACGGCCGCTGCTGTCGCTAGTCAAGGTCTTTCTCCTTGGAGTCGTGGTAGGTCCGTTCCAAATCTACCACCTCTGCACTCCTCTCTTCACGCTGCCGCTGCTGCTGCTGCTGTCGCTGGTCTTCAAGGAAGAAAACCAAGTCCCACGTTTCCTGGACATCCTGGACCTGCTGCTCATCCTTCCTGCATAAGCCCGGTCAGGCAATTTCGCAGGAGCACGTCTTATCCTGGAAAGGGTAACATCTATCCACCTCAGCCGGCGCCAACGTTCGAGGTCACCGCTGCGGAGGAGAGGGACCTGCTGTTACCGCCCTTTCAGCAGGTGAATCTTCATAGGTGTTTTGTTACTTTCTTTTATCATTTATCATGAACTGTTTAAACCCATTTCATAATCTCACAAGAGAAAATTATTGTTCTCTTCAAGATTTTTCATAAATCAATTTGATCGATTTTAAAATCACGTTCAATTTTCAAGATAATTTTTCATTTAAAACTGTTGCGTGAGGTAGTGCGATTATCCTAAGTTCACTTTTCCATTGGTACGATATTTTTGCACTCTGTCACCTATGCATAGATTCGAAGGCTAACATATACACTTCATGCCAGGTTGAAAATTCATCAGTTCATTGGCGTCGTATTCAATTAATCCTATCTACATGTATTCTTGATTACTAAATCTTTGTCGTTCATTATCTAACTACAAATTTATCATTAAATATATATATATATATATAAACCATTACTTCATACAATTATATCGTTATCATTAACGAACTTAGTAAACTCAATAAATTAAACAAAATAAATAGAAGCAGATAATTAATCGGAGGTTTTTAAATAAAAAGATTATTATTTTGAACGTTAGGCAGTGAAGAGCGACGGCGTAGGTGTTCTTTTGACTTTTCAGTCGGGTGGTATTGCGTTATCGATCGTCCAGCACAGGTATAGCTATAGAAAAGCGGTGTACTTCGCGTTCTCGGCTTGTGGTGGTACGGTAATAATCGTGAGGTCTCTTCGAAAAGGTGTTCTACGCTTGGTTCTGACTTCCGTGGGCTGCGCCGGTGCATGTATTTCATGCCAAGTTATGCAACTACTTCGTTCGTACGAGAAAGAAAGAAAGAAAGAGAGAGAGAGAGAGAGAGAGAGAAAAAAAAGAGAGAGAGAATGAGAATGAGTGAGAGAATTAGAAAGAGAAAGACTCGTATTTAAATTTAGACAGTGCAACGGCTGTTTCAACAGTCAGCACGGCTACTACGGTGCTCTTTGTGTGACATCGTTACCTTTATACCAAACATATTTTTTTTTTCCTTTTTGTTTTTCTTTCGTTTAACAATTTTTTTCTCTTCTCTCTCATTCTCGTTCATCCATCGTGTTCATCTTGAAAAAAAAAAATCCGACCGTGAAATAATTTTCTTGACTACGTAAGAACGTAGAAAACGATAGCTACGAGCGAGGTCACCGATTGCTTGAAATTTACTTGAAAATTACGCGTATCGTGTTACTTATACACATATGTTTGTTAAAAAAAAAACATAAAACATAAAGAGTAAATTAAGAATTGAAAAAATTTGTTTTTAATTTGAAGATATAGGAAAGTTTTTAGTTAAGTTTGGTTGAATGATTTTTCGAATTAAGTTAATGTAGTGTAAATGATCGATTAATTCGATCGATAAATCGATAAAAAAATTTACTCGAGAAAAAAAGAAAGAGAGAGAGAGAGAGAGAAAGAAAGAAAAAGACACTTCGTCGTTGAATTCTGACCCAATTCCTTTACGTCGTCGTTTGGATTCACACACACAGTTATATATATGTATATGCGTATACATTTACAAAAGCGTAAGAAGAGTGTGTCTAGCAGAAGTTTAAGCTCAGCTATTTTCAACTGCTCAGTCAAAAATAGAGAGCTGCATACTATACCGAGAAAGAGATAGAGATAGAAATGGCAGCAGGTCTTGTTATGCGAGAAAACCATCTCAATTTTCGTCATGTCGTATTACCATTGAATATTTAATATCCATCGTTTTATTTGAAATCATCATTTTTTTTTTTTTTCAAATATTATTCGTAATACAATGAAATACTAAACTTTGAAATTCTTCTAACTAAATGATTCGAAGAGTATTATCATCATATTTTAAATAATTTGCTTTAATAAACGTAATCGGTGATTAGACTTCGTATATTAGACTCGCGATATCGTTATAGTTTTTTTTTTTTTTTAGTTATTTTTTTTCAGTGTAATTCGAAGTATAATATTTGGATATAATGTTATAAAAGAAACGAATATTAAGTAAATAAATAAATTATGGCATATAATAATTTGGTCATTTGGTTTAAATTGTTTTTAAATATTATTTATTAAATATTTTAAATATTAATATATGTAATAATATTTTAAATAATACAAAAATATTATTTATTTATTAAATTATATAATATATCAATTTTTAAATAATTAAAAATTTAATATTAATTATAATATTATATATATATATTATATTTTAAATATTATTAAATATAAATATTATTTTAAAATATTTAAAATATTATTTATTAAATATCTATATATAATAATATATTTAAAATATATAATATATTAAATATTAATATATATAATATTTTAATGTAATTATAATACATAATATAATATATAATATTAANAATACATAATATAATATATAATATTAATTAATATATAATAATATAAATATAATATTATAAATTAATATATAAAATTCTAAATATAATATATATATATATATATATATAATTTTAATATTATAAAATAAATATATATAATTATAAAACATTAATTTTTGAAATATTATTATATATAAATATTATTTAACAATATTTCAAATATTTTACCCATATTTTGGAATCATTGGAATCAAATACTTGCAATTTTAATACCCTAATATTTAATCTATCGTATTATCCCTGCACTCATACAATTATTCTTTAATTCATAATAAATAGTCACTATAACAAACCAAAATAATCATATTACATACATTTTACATGGATACCCGTGATTCTTATGTTTACAATCGTTAAAATCGATCAATTTTCGTAAATAAACTAATTACAATATTATTATTTTGAAAAACACTTTCTTCATTCGAATTTTCATACTATCCTAAAATCTAGTTTAGATTTAAATTGGAATTTAAGTTTCGTAGAAAAGTTTACTACTACTACTACTACTACTAACGCGACGATGCATCGCTCAAGGATTAGTTTCTAATTTCTGAACACACCGAAAGCGAAAATTGGAATATATCATCCTAAGCATATATAGGATAGGTGATGCTCTTAACATGCGCTAACGCTTGAGAAACATGATAGAAGAAGGTATTAAATTCTGATGAGCTAAGTTTTCTTCTTATTCTCGAATGACTTTTTATTAAAAACAAAAATATTTCAATGAAAAAATATTCCTAACAATTTTGACAAAAAAAAATATATATATATATATATATATTATCGAAATTCATTCCTTTTCCTTTTATGTTCATTCATACATTTTTAATCAGGATGTATATCTATATATATATATATATATATATATATATATATATATAGCACATTTGGGTATGATAAATTGAAAATATCGACAAAATGGGTGAAAAAAAAAATTGGTTCAGAAAATGGAACGTACGCGATCATGTAATGTGTGACCCAGTATCGAAAGAGTACACGAGTGGGAGAATAAAAGGTGGGGGAGGAGGAGGAGGAGGTGGGGAATGTTTTAACAAAGCGAAGAAATGGCGGCTAGCTTGAAGTCCGATAATTCATCGTACGTTCGTTCGTCATTCACCTTGGCAGAGCGAATCGGAACACGTGCAGTAGGCCGCTTGGCTAAGGTAAAGGAAACCCATTCGTCGTCCTATTCGTCGATAGTGTGAATTTGTATATATATATACGTGTGTGCACTTGTTTTACAAGTGTGTATACATATATATATGTTACCAATAATGCGCGTGCGCCATTTCCACATACACACACGCATATACGTGGTGTATATAGAAATTTGAACGTAAATGAGAATGAATGCAAATATCATAGTTGAGAGTGTGTTTAGTTATTAGAAACATGATTCTAGTTTTGTCAATTATCATCAGGTTCAAATTTATATATTTTGTTTTTAATTGATAGGATTATTTTTTTTTTATTTTTTTTAAAATATTGGGTTGTCCGGAAGGTTTGTGCCGATTTTGACGATAGATTGAAATGCAATGTATTTAAGTTTGTCTTTTGGTATATGTTTATTAAATTATATATATATAATATATAATTTTTATTATAATAATATATAATTAATTTTATTATAACATAATATATAATATAATATTTTATTATATTTTTTATTATATTATATATTTTTATATATTTATTTCATTTAATTATAATATATTTATTTAATATAATTTAATAATATAATTTAATAATATAACAAATTTTATTATAATATATAATAATATTATATTATATATATAAAATTTTATAAAATATATAGCATATAATTTTATAATTTATAATATATATATATATATATTATAAGTATTTAATATTACTAAACGATTTATTTTATTTAATTATTTAACTATTATAAGTATATATTATAAAATATTCTCCATCTTTACGGCTAACTTAAAAAATTTCGTCCATTGTAACATTTCTCAGGTTTTTCAGCAAAAATTTTCAGATTTTTCAACAACAACAAAACTTTATACCATCTACCAAAAATCGGCGCGAACTTTACGAACACAATCCACACAATAGATTTATTATTTAAATATATTTTGTTTTCTCTCTCATTTGAAAGACCTATAACGTGAAAACCATTAATGGTATTAAAAAGTAATCGATATGTTTGCTTGTTGTTGTTGTTGTTGTCGTTTTTTTTTTTTCCTACGACAAACAAATACAATTGAGATGAAACGTAGATTGATGGTTGAAAGCACACTTTATCTTGATATTTTCTCGGCATATAATCCTACATTTTCTTTTTCTCTTCTTTTTTATTCTCCCTTATGATTCGATATCTTGTCCTAGATTTGTTGAGGAATGTATTAAAAGAGTCCTTGTCCTAGTTTCGATTAAATTTTTGTTCTTTCGTAAGAATGTGGTAAGCTTTTTATGAGACACTTTTTCAACTGTGTAAGATGGGAAAAGAATGAATTGTTTTATCAAGGTTATACGCACCTGCGTAATACACATACACATATGTGTACCATGTATGGTTGTATATAGTTATAATTTAGGGTGTTATTATCAATGCAAGATGGGATGAGACGTTAGAACGATTTACTACTACGT